TAGCCCCAGTGAACACCCCAAGTCACAGGCAGGCCTCCAGCTCCCGCACAGTGTCACCCTCATGTCACCTCTCGGAGACTTTGATCAGTGCCTCCCACTCCTCACTCTCACCCATTTCCCACTTCAGTACCCTTTGTTCCTGCTCACTCAAGGATCTTGTAGAAAAGCCACATCACTTGCTTCTGCTAAAGAGAGAAGATTTTAACTCTTAGGTAAGGGTAGGGCTGTCAGACTTAGCCAAATAAAAAACAGGACGCCCAGTTAAATGTAAATTTCATTTAAGCAACAAATGATTGTTTTGTATAAGGATGCCCCCATGCAATATTCGGGACATATACAAAACAACTTTTGTTGTTTAGCTGAAATTCAATTTAACTGGCTGTCCTATATTTTAACTGGTGACCCTACACCAAGCATGTCAAACTCAAAGGCTAACACGGGCCAAATAAACAAGTTTTAAGTTTATGTGGGCCGCAAAAAAACAAAAGCTTCAATTTTCATAGACACGTAGGCTTATTCCGAAAAGTATAGCATAAAAAAAAAGAACAAGAGCAACGATAAAATTAATGTTTTCTTCCTGATACTTGGCATCTCTTCTCTGCTGCTATCTTTCCTACTTCAGGGAAAATCTTGTTCACTGTGATTACTTTCAGAACTGACCCAAGGTGAATGCAGTAATTCTGGATCTGACAGGAGACTTATTTCCTTTCATAATTGTAAATAACCGCTCACACCGTTATATTGGCTGGGCCACAAAAATCTTCGTTGTGGGCCGCATGCGGGCTGAGAGTTTGACATGCTTGCCCTACATGGTTGGCGGTGCGGGGGGTGGGGGGAGGAGGGGTAGAATAGGAGGTTCCCAGAAGAACGAAACATCTGGAAAGGAAAACACAAGAAGGAATTGTGAGGATTACAGACGGGAAGGAGGGGACCTGCTTCACTAAGGGTCTCTTTACCCCAGAAGGTTTCCCGGGTGTTATTACATTTCAGTTTTCTGGTGATTCTGTGCATTACATAGAATGAATTTATCCCCCTTACAGATTTAGAAAAAAAAAAAACATGATTAGGGAGCAAGTGACTTGTAGAGCATCCCATGGATAATTCATAAAAGGCAGGACTGTAATCCGGCGGCTTCCCGGTACAACCCGAGTGCTATTTCTCCTCCGTACAGCTGCTTCACTGCTTTGTAATTGTTACAGGCTGTACATAAAGAGGGCCCGACAGTTTTCTTTCGTCTTCTAATGCAGTTGTTACTGAAGTTAGCCAAATATTAATAAAAGGAAGGAAGCAAAGGAAGTCAGACATTGTTGAGCCTAATGGGCTGGGGAGCATGAGCCTGTCTGCTTGATGGCCAAAGATTAACACCCCTCCTGTATTGCATTAAGCACATGCACAATAGAAGTCAAAATGGCACAGGGGGAGGTGTTGGACCACAGAGGCCTGTCTGTCTAGCCTGGGGAAGGAATCATTGGCTAGGGGGTGGACCCATCAGAGGCCTGCCAAAGCTTGGGAAGTTGATTCGTTATTTTCAAAAAATCCCTGGTTCTTCCCAAGCCGAAGATGATAAAAAACAAGACTGGATTTTTTTCTATGGCAGGAGAGATGGAGATAGGACACTGGAAACCTACGAGGGGAGCTCCTTTGATTTTGCATCAGAAATAAATGCCGCCACACCACGGTCTCCCCGCTTCCCTGGAGATCCCGTGGCACAGCCCGCGTTCCACCGACAACACATGCATAAGGAGCCCATTCAAAATGGCACCCTGGACTCACACATATTTACAAAGCGCCGCTGTCCACTTACAGAGACCATTCTACTAACAGAGAGACCACCGGACCCTTTTCTCCTCTTGGCCACTCATCCCAATAAAGCACATCACCAGCAAGGACCTGATTGTGTTCAGTTCCCTGACACAAAGGGAGAGAAAAAGTCAAGAAAGGAAGGGCAATGTTTCACTCAAGATGACCACTGCTTCCCAGTTTTCAGATGAGGAAGGTCCTGGGATATTTGATTCAACACTCTTAACAGGGAACCAAGTGTTAAGAAAAGGCTCCTCTATCCTAGCATCCCATGATCCATCATTTTCCAAAGAACACAGCCGGTTTGGTGTTCATTTGATAAAAAAAAAAAAAAGTAAAGAAAGAATTTGTCAAATGGACAGTGGGCAATGCTTCTCCCCCCGCCCCCTCCAAGCTCCTGACACTCACAGCACACAATGGAGGGGAAATGGCCATAAACATGACTTAATATGTGCCCTTTTGAAGTGGAGTAACTGTCGGACAAGTGACTATAAAAATAACACCACTGAGGAGATCCAAATTTAATTCTGCTTAGTGAATTTCCAGATCAAAATGAACTCAGTTAATCTGTCCAAGTTTTGCTTTTGTGCTGTTTTGTTTGCTTCTAAAATTGCCTTTCTTTTCATAGATACTAGCGGACTCCACTTATGACAGAAAAAGGACTTGCCGGCCTCACACACCATCACATAGGCAGAGCGCATGGCTGTCAGACAGCTGCCAGTTTCTCAGGAGTACTCAGGGGGTGGCGAGCACCCCAGCACCTGCAGAGGTGGGCGGGGCCGGGCAGGGGTTCCCCACAAGCTGTGATGGCCAAGTCCAAGGGCACAGGGGCTGAGACTGCCTGCTCAGGAGAAGGGCCCAGCTCTGTCTGTCCTTGCTTGGTACTGACCACTTACTCCTTTCTATTCCCCCCTCTTTCTTCTCCTATTCCCCCCCTCCCCCCCCACAACACACACAGCCAGACACAGGCTCCAGAGCAGCAGACAACTTAACACATGGTCTTTCGGGCCACAGAGGAGTCTCCAGTTTTCTTGTGGAAGAGGGCAAAGAGCCATACTCTATCCCCTGCCTGCCCCAGCCAGCACCCAACCATTCCCACCCGCAGGGCGTTCAATGGCAATTACCAGGGCCAGGGTAGTGCAGATTAGGGCAGGACAGTCATCTGGAGACTTAATTAAGGGCCGTTAGGAACATTCCAGCAGGGGGAGAGGGAAGCGGGAGAGGGAAGCGTGCAAGGAGGTTTCCTTTTGTGTTGAGTGTGAGTGTGAGTGTGAATGTGAGTGTGAGCCCTGCAAGCGGCGCCTTGTTGGACTCCCCAGCAGTCCTGCAGCAGAGGGCTCACGTCGTTAAAGACTGCAGGTGAGAAAAACTCAATTTCATTTTGGATCTAACATCATTCAGAGATTGCTTTTGAGAAGGCCATACAATTAAATCATTTTACTCTTCACAGTTTATAAAACCTAAATCTACAGAAAACATAAATTCTGGCCAATTCAAGTTTAGTGTGATCAGGTTTCCATCTACATTACATGAGAAGACTTCAAAGCAGGGCTTGACGGGATCACTGCTCCAACTGCATTGAATACTCAGCCTGGCTTATTCATTCCAGGGCACTGGCCCCTGTGGACAGAGAGGGGCGCATGAGCAGAGCTTCAGGACAGAGCAAAGGCCATGAGGGTGGTGGGGTCGGGAGAGCTGGGATCACAGTCCCCAGAGCTGGTGGCAGAGCCGGGACAACCGCAGAGGACTGGGGACTCCCAGGTCAGCGCTCCTGCCATCGCCTCCTTTCCTTAAATCAAGACCCCAGACATAAGACTTGTGACTCCAGGCAACTTGTGAGAGGACTCTGTCCAGTAGAACAGCTCAAGGCCCGGGAGTTATCAGCTCCTTCAGAGGCCTGGCAGGAATTTCCTGTTATGTGATCTGGGTCTTGCAAATGGCCACAACCAAGCTGAGGCTGCCCCTTCTTCCCCTCCCCCTTAGGAGAAATGACTGCTCTTAGTCACCAGTTGCCTACAGGGCTCCGAGGACTGGGCCCAGCTCCAAGAATGTCCAAAGGAAGCCAGCATGAGGGTCTGCTCTGAGAACAAAGAGCAGGCCAGCCCAGGGGACAGTGAAATCCCACCTCCAGGCAGCTCGGCTCTGGGTCAGCTGTGGCTCTGCGCAGAGGAGTAACAGTCAGCAACACGGAACCCTCTGGACGCAGGGCCATGTGCCTAGTTGTTAACAGAAACCTGGAGGTGCTTCTGGTTTTCCGTCATGTGTTTTTTTCAACCGTAAAAGACATATTACACACAAAAACATACATGCACACACATGCACAGCCACCAGGCAGGGAACTAAAGGACTGCAGCACTCGAGGCAATCCCCACCCATGTCCCCATCACTCCCCCAGCCCCTCCGGCGGTAACCACCATCTGGCTTTTGGGAATCATTATTTCCTATCATTTTTACTATTTGTGTGCGCATCCTTGAAGATCGCAGTTCAGTCTTGTCTATCATTGTACAGTTCACTATAGCTACTTACTGTTTGCTCACTTTGTTTCTAATAGAGTATTCAATTGCATGGATATGCTTCGTTTACCCATTCTGCTGTCCGTGGACATTGACATTGTTTTCAGGTTTTGGCGACTACAAACAATGCTGCATGAGTATTCTTGAACATGTCTCCTGGTCCTCAGGTGCTGGAGTTGCTCTGTAACCACACTTGACAATAAAACACTGCATCGTGCAGAACACACTCTTCACCTCACCTATGCAATGACAATCTCTGTTCCAAAGCTGTGCTGCCTTTGCCTCCCCACAAGACACTGCGAAGCCCACCTGCTTATACAGAGGAGCAGCCCCTGTGACTCAGAGGCCAAGAAAGCCGCATCCATCACCAGACTGGCACGTTAAAGCTCGGTCCTAACACCGCCTCTGAAAGACAAAGCCCAAGACTTTAAAATCCTGAGCTTAACCAGAACCAACAACTAAAACGACTGAACTTTCCAAACGCCCCCAAAAGAACGAGATGGCATCTCCAGTCCGGAGCATACACACCTGCCCATACTATGAACTGTAAGTAATAACCGCAAATGTGTCCCTAAGAGATTGAGTGCAGAAAGACTGCACGCTGATTAATCCCAGTCGGCAGGAGTGGCAGGAGAGGGGGGTGAAGGGTGAGGAGGGGTCCTGGAGGCACCCCGGCCTCCACGCACCTGTACACCGGCTGCATCTCTCTCGCGATGCCAATGATGGCGCCTGGCAGGAAATTGTCAAACTCCTCGAACAATTCCCGGATGTTGGTCTTGTACTTTAGGTCTAGGTCCAGCTGTATTATCTGCAGGATCTCTGGAGGAAAGAAAAAGACAACAATAAGACACAGACACGCATCCTGGGAGGCTCGGCTATTTATAGAAAATGAGTGGAAGGTGCAGAATGGGGTTCTGGATTATTCTTGCTGCCCCTGCAAAGTTAGCGCTGGAAACACAGGGCCTTCCTTTGCCAGCAACCCCCTCTGCAAGATCAGAAGTCTCTAGAAACAAATGTCACATATCTTTCCTTCCAATTGTAGACACATTTTATTTTAATCCAGGTGACCATATGCTCCAGTTAAGGCCTACTGTCCCGGTGTAATTGTCAACAGCACACCATTTCATTCTCAAACACATCTGACAGTTTATGGACACCCTACTTAAAACTGAAAGCATACAGGTGTTGCTCTTTGGGGCACAGGTGGTATATGACCCAAGGGAGAGAGGGGTAAGAACTGCTATTGTCTTAAGCTCTCATAAGTACATTCTGGAAACCTAAACACATATCAAGTCAGACAAAGCAAGTCTCACAATGACCTGGCACGGAAGAGCTGTTGGCTTCCGCTGCCTCCAGATAACTCAGGAGCGAGTAGGGAGGAGGGGGGTGTTGACCAAGTTCATTCTCGCATCCTTCACCTGACAAAGCCTGTCTGAGACCCCAACTATGCTGAGGACCCAGCCCTAAAGGAGAGACATGCGGTCACTAAAATCAGGGAGGGAGAGATTGATGCTGACATGAAATGGAAGAGGGACTGGGGAGCTCTGAAGAGGGGATTCTTGGGGTTAAATGATGAAGAGCGATAGTAGTACTTGGTACTACGGAGAAGGCCTAACTAATGGGAATCAGACCACAGCAGCCGAATTTTGTAACCCTGGGGAAATTATTTTACTTCTCTAAATCTTAGTTGTTTCATTTGTTGAAGTGGGAACAATACAATGTGCCTGGTGAGGCTGAGATGCCAAGAAGATGGGACAACAGTGGGAAACGTCACCTACACAGGCTGTGGAGGCTACAGGGGCCCAGGGCTTGGAGAGTGGGAGACTTGCAGAGGGAGGCCTGAGGCAGTCTAGGAAAACTTAACAAAAGAGAGTGCATGGGCTGGCCCTCGACATGCGGGCAGCATGGAGAGGGGATGCAGCACCACCACCATCCGGGGCATCAGGGCTCCCGCCTGGCTCTTCACCAGCCTTTTGGCATCTGCCCACGGCAGAGGCCCCAGCTGCCTGAGGACAGGCTGCCCCCAGACGCCCTCTGAAGACAGGCACCCCATCTTTGGTGTCTCAGCCTCCATTCACTCAGTACAAGGCTTGGAATCCCGTAAATACTGAGGAATGTTTGTGGAATTTAAGTGCCATTCTCTAAATTAGTTTATGAAGAAATCACAGCTTACTATTTAAGAAAAACTGAATCATTTGTTCCTCACTCTATTTTCCTTTGTGATGCAGAAACAAAACATGAGTTGACATTCTACATGAGTTTCCTGTAAAAGAAAAAAGTTATAGGAGATGCCCAACTGGTATGGCTCAGTGGTTGAGCATCAACCTAGGAACCAGTAGGTTATGGTTCAATTCTCAATCAGGGCACATGCCCAGGTTGTGGGCTCAATACCTAGTGGGGGGGAGGGGGGGACGGTGCAGGAGGGAGCCGATCAATGATTCTCTCTCATCACTGATGTTTCTCTCTCTCTCTCTCCCCCTCTCCCTTCCTCTCTGAAATCAATAGAAATATATATATATTTTAAATGTTATAGTAGGTAAGAATCCAGCTGCCCAGGCCAGAGGACAGTGAGAGGGCACCAAAGATAGCCGCTCTGGCCCTGTGGGCGGTGTATAGAAAAATGGGCCCCCAGGGCCAATGCGGGCCCTGCGGCCTGCCTGGCTTCACACTGCCCGCCCCATATAGACACATGAGTGAAACACTGCTTTCCTTCCTGCACTAGAAATAATAACAACCTAGAAACCAGGAAAGGTGATGACTCCAGAGCTCCTTGTGGTGACCTTGCCGTCTCCCGGAAAGCTGCCCTGAGCCAGCAGTGAAGACGAGCAATGAATGGGCCACAGGCAGCGTCTCCAGGAGCCTGCTGCTCTCAGACACAGCCCTGGGAACAGAGGAGAGGAGCCTGATGGCAACCTTGGGGAAGAACAGCCTCCCAAAAGAGACTTGTAACCAATGAGAATTGTAACCATCAAGAAGCCATAATGGGCCCAGCCAGCGTGGCTCCGTGGTTGAGCATGGCCCTGTGCACCAGAAGGTCACTGTTCAGTTTCCAGTCCGGGCACATGCCCAGGTTGTCATCTCCATCCCAGTAGGGGGCGTGTAGGAGGCAGCTGATCAATGATTCTCTCTCATCATTTTTTTTTTTTAAATATATTTTATTGATTTTTTACAGAGAAGAAGGGAGAGTGATAGAGAGATAGAAACATCGATGAGAGAGAAACATCGATCAGCTGCCTCCTGCATGCCCCCCACTGGGGATGTGCCCGCAACCAAGGTACACGCCCTTGACCAGAATCGAACCTGGGACCCCTCAGTCCCCAGGCCGACGATCTATCCACTGAGCCAAACTGGTCAGGGCAATTCTCTCTCATCATTGATGTTTCTATTTCTCTCTCCTTCTCCCATCCTCTCTGACATCAATAAAAATATATTGAAAAGAGAAAAAGAAGCCACAATGCGAGGCCCCACAACACACACACCCTCTAGCCATTTCTCTCCTTTCTTTTGGTCCACCTCCTATGCCCGAAGCTCCCACACGCAGCTCTTACACTGGAGAGAGCAGAGCCTGTCTGAGCCTGGGACAGGGTGGCACTTCGCCCCAAGCAGAGAAACCACATCTCTGCAGGTTCTGTTGGGGAATGGGGGCCGGGAGTGGGCAAAGGGCAGTGGCCTGCAGAAGGGGAGGCCTCAGGTTGTTTGGAGGTAATTCTGTGGCCCTGTCACGGTTATAAGAGAAGGGTAAACCTCGTCCTCTTGGTACAGGGAGCACTTCAGTACCACCAGGGATGGCCAGAGAGAAGCACCCTTCCTTTGAGGGCTTTTAGGTGCCCAGCCTTGCACAGGCAATAGTTCATTTCTCATAACCACCCAACATGTTTAGATGAAGAAAGAGAGGGTTAGGACAGTTAAAAACAATAGCCCGAGGTTCACAACAAATTAAGTGTTGGAGCTGGGATCTGAACCTAGGTCTGCTTGACTTCAAAGCCTAGCATGCTCTTTCCACAGACTCTGAGTCCCCTTCTGACCGGAAGGGAGCCCCACGAGGCAGATCTGGCTCCAAGGTTATGCACACAGAGGCCCAGGAGCAGGCAGAGGTGCCAAAGGCCTTAACAGACAAGAAGCAGAACAGCGAGCTGGCCAAACATGGCATTTAAGGGAAGTCCTCCACATGAAAATGGTAATTTCACTGTAATTAAACTCCCAATGGCCGTTCATTCAGTCAGTCAGTCATTCTTCAGTGAAAGCCTACACGTGCTATGTGTATGCTCCGGTCTCTCAAGGTCAGCCCACTGCCGGAGTCCATTCATTGTCTTCACTAGCTGAGTTTAGACAGAGACCCCCCCCCCCAAAAGCTAGTAACCTTTGAAATTCTAGCAAAGGTCAGAACTGTGCACCACCCAGTTAATTTAGGTAATAATAGTTGAAGCATCCCCACCTTAGTTCCCTTAATTCTTTAGATACTTATGTAGATCCTTGTTGATTATTGTTAATCAGATACTCCCGGAAATCTATTGATGAGCTAATCAGATACTTTGTCTATTCCTGGAAATTGTTTGCTGATCTGTGTGTCACTGAAACCTCCTTACCCTAAGGGCTACTCCAGATCAATAAAAGATTGGAGCAGCCTGAGCAGTGGAGGAAGTCCTTCCCCTTGAGTTGGACTTGCTCGCCTGGCCCCCCAATATTTCCAAATTATCTCTTGTCTTTTCATATTCATTTGTGTGCGGCTCTGCTTCCAGTTCCTGAACCCTGACCCATGCGGGACGCGGGAAGGAAACACTCAACAGCCCACCCTACCTATTCTGCAAGGAGCAGCCCAAATGCCTCCTTCCCTGGCCGGCTTGGACAGGCCCTGGTCAGAAGTAGCTGCCTGCCTCCGGTCACTGTCACCTGTACACCTGTCTCACTGCCCTCGCCAGAGAGGATGCTCCTTGAGGAAGGGAATGTGCTGGAAGGCAGAGCTCAGGGTCCTCAGGTGTCTTCCGAAGAGACACAGCTCCTTCATTCGGGCAGAGCCCTGGCCATAAATCGGGGCACTTTCCCTGCTCGTTAGGGACTGGCGGGCAGTGAGCCTGGAAAGGTCGTGCAGTCCTAGGACATGGTCATTTGAGATGCTTTTATACTTTTATAGATCCTCTTTCAGGAAGGGTCTGCTGAAGGCTGCTCACACCTTTCTCAAGAGGGACTTCACCAAACGAGGTCGACTGATCAGGAAGGAATGCAGCAGCAGCTCCAGCACTAAGTGGCCCCTGCACACCGATGTGAGAAGCCTGACCCAGCTGTCACCTTTCAGGCTGAGGCAGGAGGACACGCCCTCTATTCAGGGAGGCGGACAGCCCCAAGCGCAGCCTGCACGGTCGGGCGGGCATCTGTCCAGACTGTTATCCTTTTATGTAATTATGAAATAAGATGCCAAGTTGTGAATGTCACTGCTGAAAAGAGGAAGATGCTTACCAGGAATGCTGAAATTCATTAGATTCTTTTAAAGGGCCCTGTTCCTCTGGCCTCTGGTCCTTCATGTAGTCATCTCTCTGTGGAAACTATACCTGGGAGGTTTATACATAATGCTGAAAGGCTGTTGTGAGAATGAAACAAGACTGTACAGTGGGGCCTTGACTTACAAGTTTAATTCGTTCCGAGACCGAGCTCGTTAACTCAAATTACTCTGTCAACTCAATGCAAAAAATCGGCGGAGAGACAGCTGGTATCTCAAAAAACTCGTTAGTCGGGACACTCGTAAGTCAAGGCTCCACTGTATATGGAAAGAGCCACCTCGGTAGCCCAGAGAGGATGCTGGGCGGAGGACAGCTGTAATGGCA